AGCCCGCGTGTTCACCTCAAATGTTAACTGATGTGGTCATTTGTATCATTGAAAGGAGAGCAATGAATTATATTGAGGACATTTTTGGGCGTGTAAGAATTGAATAGTAAGGCCTTCTCTTTAATCATGCACGATCCCTCCTATCTGATGCATATGCAACCCGGTTGTTCTTGAGGGAGTGTCCGTTATAGCCGGGTGCGCGCAAGGCGAGAGTTGATTGTAGTTGGCTTCAGGCTAATAGGCCATTTGCACTAAGAGGTCATGTGACATCGTTTTATGAAAATGGAAATTACATGATTTTTTCTTCAAAAAACGAGTAGTGGGGCCTATGTTTAGCAAAATAATAGTGATTTGGTTTTTCAAACCTGCACCAGTTTCTTAAAATGAGTGAGTGCGTAGCTGGTCACGTGACCAAACTGTAATTTTTAAAATTATGAATTACCTCTTTCTGAACACAAATTTTGCACTTAAACTTCAATGAAAGTGTTGCAAAGTTGATATGGGAATGTTTACAGCACATCTGAGCGTAACTATCAAACGTTAACAGGATCTAAGCAAAAAGTAGCTTTGGCCGCCATGTTGGAGGACAAGAGTATGCCCTCCAACATGGCGGCCAATACAAATGATACTACTTTGTTGAAAAATCAAAGTACTATAAAATATCTCCCTTAAATGAGTTTCTTCTCAAATTTCGGGTGTAAGATGATTTTTATGTGCTCTGTCAATTTTTGGCATCAGCAAGATTCCAACTCATTGACTATTTTCCAATTGCCCATAATACACTCTGTTTGCCCCCCCAAATTTTGCATAACTTATTGTCTTAAAATGCTCTTGGGAAAATGCAATACTCCCAGGAGCATTTAAAAACAATGGTTTATGCAAAATTTGGGGGGCAAACAGAGTGTATTATGGGCAATTGGAAAATAGAGAATTGTTTAAAGGAAGCATTGGTCACGTGACCTCTTAGTGCAAGTGGCCTATTCATGCGAGTTTGTTTACAAACTTATTCTCAGGGATTTCAGAACTTCGTTCAGGAGTATAGTAGTTATCCTTGAACGTACTTATATATCCACTTTGCAGGGGGAAATTACGAAAATATCCTACATATGTTTTGACTTTTAGGTATGACACTTATAAAATTAATGCACAATGTCGAACGATTTCCGAGTTTCCCCACTAAGCATTCAAAACACTCGAGGCCAATGTGGCCACGCCAAATCTAAAAATACGAACTGCTGATGGTGTCTGGAAACGGGCCACCAAACTGGAAGAGTCAAGTGAGACTCAGTTAGCTGACGCTAGTTCTGCACTATCAATTGTTTTCAAGTAAAACTCTGTTTATATGCCACCCCATTTAATAAGGAAATCCAAGACAGCATTGATTCTGGATTCCTCGCCGTGGATTCCACATTCGAGGTAATGGATTCTAGTTTTCGTCAGTGAAACTTGGATTCTGGATTCCAGTGGTTAGTGGGATTTCCACATTCTTTGATCTGTATTCCAGATTCCAAAGCCCAGCATTCCTGATTTTCCCGGATTCAGAAATCCGGATTCCCTTACATGGAGCGATACATCGCATGACCGACGAACGCGTGACAAACTCCAAATAATTATGCGTGGGAAGCGATATTGGCTTACATTAGCATGGCCGTAGCTCTAAGGACTCTGGGAACGAGAATTTTCTAGACCTTTCGACACCTGGCTCTAAGAAAGATGGCGGAGAAAGTCGGTTAGAACTGACCGATTTTTAGCCCATTGAGAAGTAAATCTGTGCTATGTAAGCGTAGCACACTACGAAAGATATAAACCATTTTAAAATCTGACTTCAAGCTTACAATTTAAGGGTGGAATTTTAAGATTTGGCAAGTGCAATCTTTGTACTCCAAGGCGGAAGTGCGGTATGGTTGTTGTTAATATTTAGAGAGCTTAAGCAACCACGACGGTGACAGCTACGAAAACGCCGGACTTGAAAAGTGAATCAGCGCTGCTTCAAACTTTATCGCGGTTATTCAGTCTCCTTCAGTTTACGAAATGTTGGCGAATTTGTCTTGAGTCGAAGTTCAGGAAAGGAGAAAGAATGTCTTTGTCTCGTGTTCCTGCCCTCCACAAAACCTGAAATCAGGCATCTTCAGGTCGCAGTCGTGCAACGACGGCTATAGGAAATGTACAGAAAAGCGTGATACACGTGCAAAGTTGTTGTTTTGCCAATCTTAACTGTATTATAAATTGCTTTTTTGGCGTTCTCGTTGCTGTCGCCGTCGTTGTTGCTTAAGCTCCCCTGAAGGCCGTAAAAGCATTGACACAAATTTTTGAAAGTTGTTGAAAGTTTGAATCCTTTTTATTTTAATACAGATTTCATCTTAGAGTTTATTGGATTCGAGAACAAGAAGGTGAAGGAGAGGTAAAATGCCCATTTATTTTTTTTTTCGCTTCGGTGTAGATTATAACAGGGTACACTGGGGCACATATGTCCTCTGCAGTAAGTAGTACTGTACCTTGTCATTCATAATGGTAATTGAACTGAGGAGAGTGCAATTTGGTCTCAAATTATATGCGTGATTTCAAAATCGGACGAGCGCTCAGCGCGAGCTCGATTTCAAATCGCAAGTATGACTTGAGACCAAAATTGCACGACACGAGGTTCAATTCCCGCTTTATTACAGCCATTTTGAAATCGCAGAATTCAGTCAGTACTAATATTTTACTGATAAAGTAGTTGGTTTGTTAAAAAGCCGAAACAAGAAGGCTTTTACATCTCATTTTGTATTCGAAACAGAAATAATGCGATTTAGAACATGAGTGATGCGATTTGTAACAGACGTGATTAAGAGCAAAAAATATTGTGATTCGTGAATAAATCACACTACTGAGAGCCAATCAGATTGAAGGGATCACCAGTGTGATTTCAAAACAGAATCGATATAATAAAATTAGGTTAACTGGCACCTGTAAATTGACATTATATTTCTCTGTAGTCGCGTTCTCTGATTGAAAATTAGGTGTTTAAGATCGTATTGCAATTCATAAGTCTCGATCCTATGGATGACGTTAAGTCTTGTGCATCTGATTCGTCGTCTGTGGCTAGCAACGTGTAAATCTCAATTATAAATCTCTAGGTGTGAAAGTGAATAATTGCACTCTAATCAAAGGCGCACCCCGCGTAACAAAGAATTTATTCGAGTGGAACTTTTTCCATGGTACTTTTAGAGTGATTTGACAAATCTGACTGCGCCAGACTGCCAAAATGTTTCTCCCAATAAATACTTTTTATAAAGCGCTCTCAAATAGCAAAAAAAAAAAAAAAAAAAAAAAAAATGAGCCGAACACTTGCTTTTGTTTCATCGATGCGTTTCATGCACTCTGCGTTGGTCGCGGATTTAAAACAATATAGTATTTTTTTTCTATTTGTAAGACGATGGAAGTCAAGTAAATGCACTGGTATATGACATTTCCCTTTAAAAACCCGAGTCGGTTAACATGTAAAAAGCAAGCGCCGCGTCTTTTTAAACGCTTGAGGGAACATTGTGTGAGATAATTAATACTCAAATTTCGATCGGCTTCAACTGATCAAAACATTAAGAGGCCCTGCGCCTAAGAAACGACCGATGATTTCCGGCTAAAAAAATAAAATCGGCCGATTTTTATCTCCCAAGTAGAGGTTACCGAATACTATTCAAAAATGAATTTCTTTTGTTTCAGTTTCGCTTTAAACCAAAAATATCGAGCCGCAAACTTTTTCCGTCTGATAGCAGCAAAATCAGGCCTAAAATAAGCTCTCGCAAAAAACGGTTCAGAAATCACTATCGCGACGCAAAACAACGAGAAAACCACACAGTGATGAAGAAAAGGGCCTTTTAATGCAATATCATTCGATAAACACCGAAAAACTACCGAAGGGAATAAAAAATAAATTTTCAAATATTGCATATTAAATTAGATGGAGCGTTGGAGCTGATTTTAAAATAATAATTTCTCAAAAGTCCAACGCTGCTGAAAGCAATCACAGTGATGAATCAGACATTGGAGGGATATACATCATGTTTTCGGAAAAACATTTTTCGGCCAAAGTATAATGACGTTGCAAAAACCGTTCAAAGTTACCTTATTTACCGTTAAGTTGCCACTTCGGCGAAACACTTCTCTGTTGCCAATATGGCCAAGGATAGCGTGGTAAACGCCACTTTAAGCCTTGCTAGGCGCTCAAAACCATCCTAAATAGAAGTATATAGAATCTAAAGAGAAAGGAAAATGAAAGATTCGCAGAAAAAGAGAGTAACTCGAAATTACCATCTGCTAAGGAGAGTTGAATGTTGGAAATGTTGTCGCGTGACAGCGCTCATTTGTCCGAACTGCAGCGGGATCCAAACAAATACGTGAAATATAAGTTAAAAAAAACAGTCTTTCTATCACCAGAAATCGTGAATGAGACAGTTTGATGTTTTTCCTATTAATGATGATGAATTCAGCCTCAGCTAGTCTCCAAGTACTTTGAATGTGGGTTGCTTGTATTTCGTTACATACATTCCAACGGCCGTTACGGGTCAGCGCGTGTAGGGGTCAGCGGACCTGAAGAAAGGTGACGAAGTTGCGCCATGCTAGGGGGGACATTGGTAGGTACCCAATACCGAAAATAAATGCGGTATCGGTATTTCGTCGATTTTTGACACGGTATTTCGGTATTTACCAATTTTTCTCACGGTATTGCGGTATTTAATCAATTTAATTTAATTTTGCGAGGAAACGTGAGACGGCCTCGAATTGATCGGTACAACGAACGAAAAAGATACCCTGCCAATTTCATCACAGATTATCTGTCAGAAATTGTGTAATGGTAATCATTTACCATTAATCTAAAGTCTTAAAAATACTGACGTGCATTAAACTAGACTGCGTAGCAGGCGCTTGGAAGTAGTGGGCGCGAGAGAGAACGAGCGCGCGCGAGGGAGACACGCGAGCGGTCATCTAAACCGTGCCTGGTACGCAGGCTAGCATTAAACAGG